TGCAAGTCAACGAAGCAAACGTACGCTGCGAAGTATACACTGGTAAATATCTGAGTACAAAATAAACAATAAAGAAGTTAGCAAAAAAATTAATTTCAAACAATAAGAAAACCACAAGAACTGTCAAACAAAGTTCCATATGTTTATTAAGTGCTAATGTCTATCAATGTCTAAATTTGTGCCATTTGCTGGAATATCTAAACTGCTCCATTGTCATAGGAAGTTCATAGGACTCTGTCCTCTAATATTTATCAAAAGTTGAAACTAAACAGTGTAAGGAGTTTGGAGAATGTAGACAGATACATAATAACAGAGGGGGTATGATATAATCTGCTGATTGTAAAGCCCTGAATAGCCATTGATATGTTACAGGTTGAGTTCTAACTCAATTTCAAACTAAAATCAAATACAAACACACCCAAATGGACATGCAAAAAAGAAATTAAAACAGCCTGAATAGCCATTGATGTGTTGCAGGTTGGGGTCTAACTCATTTTCAAATTAAAATCAAATACAAACACTCCCAAATGGACATGAAAAAAGAATTTAAAACATCCTAATCTTTAGAATCAAATAAATGGTTAAAATTGAACTTCAAACATGCAATAAAAAAACCACATGAACAAACTCCATGATTTCTGACTAAAAAATCATAACAGCAAACTCTATCCATTACATACAAAACTCATTTTCAAACAAAAATCAAATAGAAACACTCCCAAATGGACATGCAAATAAGAAATTTAAACATCCTGATGCAAAAAATAAATTAAAAACTCCCAAATGAATATGCAAACTTCTAGATAAACATTACTTTGGTTTTCCAGTTTTTGCTGCATAATTTTTGGTATGGATAGCTCAGTCGAGAGGTTATCCTACTAAGTATGAGGTTTTTTTGAGTAGCTAAGCAATCCTTACCTGCTTATCCCATAATACGATAATTATGCGCTAACCACATGTCTGTACTTTCTTTTCTGCGCAGGTCTAGTATCCGTATAATAACCGAAATAATTATTAAATGAATTTAGTAGATAATTTCTTTGTATTAAAAAGGAGATTTTTTGGTACAAAATCAATGCATTTACAAAAACTGTGTGATCTGTCAATGTAGACAGATACATAATAACAGAGAGGGTAAGATATAATTTGGGGATTATAAAGCCTTGAATAGCAATTGCTCTGTTGCAGGTTGGGCCAAAATCTCTAGTCTAACTCATTTTCAAACTAAAATCAAATAAAAACATAAAATAAAAACTCAGAAACACTCCCAAATGGACATGCAAAAAAGGAATTAAAACATCCTGATGTTTAAAATCAAAAGAGTGATATCATGGATTTTTTATACACATGCATCAATTCGGAATCCCTAAAAAAAGAACTAAGAACAGAGGCACTCCCAAATGAACATGCAAAAAAAAAAATTAAAAAATCCTGATATCTAAAATTAAATGTGTGATTAAAATTGAACCTAAAACATGATATAAGAGAACGGATGAACAAACTGACCATATAGGCAATTTGAATACAATTCAATTTTAAAAGAAGAAGAACAAGAATAGATCTAATTTTTTTTCACTGCAACCCAATTCCAAATGAGCATGCAATGAATCCATAGATAAAAAAATTCTGTTTTTCCCTCAGAATCGCACATAGAATCAAAAAAATGAAAAAACGGCAAAAAGAAAGAGAGATGGGATGACAAAAACCTGGAGAAATTAAAGTAGAAGTGGTAGAGGGAAAATCCATTCTCCGTCATCTTCATATACCGCCGACTGAGAACGAGTAGTGCGCTGTACAGTCCGACTGAGAACGAGTAGTGCGCTGTACAGTGGAGGGAAGAGAAAGAGTGGGTCGCACAGTAAACAAACGAAACGTTAGAAACAAACGAAAAAAACACAATATAAACGCGATAGAGAATTATAAAATTAGGGAGAGATATCGGTCAACACGTATTAACTAAAGAAATCTCCGTGGAGTAAAAAGAATACTCTCTTCGTTTTTCCCATTTTGAATGAGTATCAAAATAAGGAAGTATGACATTATAAATGACCTCTAATTTTCTTCTTGATGTGATGAGTAAAAGTAAAATGTGATAAATATATTATTAGAAAAAAGAATGATGTGATAGTTAAGATAAGAAAAAATATGGGTAAAAGTGTTTTTTAATAGAAAGTAGGATTAATTTCTATTGATTACCTTAATTATTTCAATAATTTTATAGGATTTTAGTTATTTCATATTTTTGTTATTTTTATATCTATTTTTGTAAATCCAAAGTTAAAATAATATTTAAAAAAGGGTAAGAAAAAAAATGGAAGTAGAAACTTATTTTAAAATTAAAATTTAATTGAAAATCTTTAAAAAAAATGAAAAAAAAAATCATAAAAAAGGATCTTTACTTTCATTTTGTTGCGTAAAATAAGCCGTTTCCGTTAACCCGTCATTAGTAAATTAACGGGATCCAAATCTTGCAAATTTCAATAAAAGTTAATTAGTATTATTATGCATCACAGTGAAAATGTGGTACTGTATTATTTTTAAAAAACAAGATAAAGTTAGAATTATTTTGTATAATTTGTCTTTTTATATAACAAGATTTCACTTTTTTTTATATGATCGCATAAACACACGAGACAGAAACAAAAAAAATCTACGTACTCCATCTCTTTTTAGAAAATAATATTTGATAATTTATTAAAATGCAACAAACATTGCTCTCGTGAGGCTCCAATAATAAGTAAGGCCAAGTTACAAAATTGAGTAACAATAATTTTAATGTATAATTATTTAACTACATTTGCCGCCCGTGCAAATGCACTCATATTTAGGATTGAATGGGTCACCGCCCGCCTTTTGGATGCACTGTCCAAACGCTTGTCCATACTGTAGATAACACGTTTTTCTACAGTTTGGTAACACGCAATTATTCGGATCCACCACACAGATTGCGTCCGTTTTCACCACCGATTTTGTAGCTGCATGTAACAGAAAAATAATTGCATTTGTCGTTTTTTTAAATAATACAGAGTACAATTCAAGAAAAAAATAAATAATTGGATCGAATTCGTCATCTTTCTTAGTGAAATACGGAGTACATTAATTAATTATCCTCTATATAATATAACTAAATTACCCGTAAGAGCAATAATAATGAACACTGCGAAGATAAAACTTTTAGAAAACTTTCCCATTGTGCTTAGCTTGTTTGATGTTAATTAGTGGACACTTGCTATATATCAAACCATTTGCAAATGAGAGAGGAGCTTAATCCACAATATTTATATTGACCATCATTAACAAATTTAGTAATTTGGTTGGTAAACTTTTTATTAATATTTCTTTATTAAAATGAATTTATTACCTATTCTGTCTTCCTACTTGCCCATACTAATATGTACTAATAAAACTCTTATTTAACTAATGGTTGAAATTTACTACTCCCTCCGTCTCGCAAAAAAGTTTTCATTTTGACATTTTTTAAGATTTAAGGAAAGTGTATTTTGGTGGACTTCCAAAAATACTCTTTGATTTGATCGATAAAGTAGGATGGAATAGATAAATTAATAAAGAAAAAATGTGATGTGATAAGTGGTTTAAGAATTACTAGAAATAAAAGTGACTTTTTTAAAAAAAAGGAAAGTGTTTTTTAGGACTGATGAAAAACAAAGAAAAACTTTTTTACGGGACGGTGGGAGTATTTGATTGGGAAAAAAATCAAACTGAATATCCATATTGGGACAGTGGGAGAGGCTCGGAAGAAAATACTACGGAGTACATGATTCACTCCCAACAATATTATGTGTGGACACTTTGAATCTCCATCGCTACACCTCCAGGCACCACAACCATCTCCGGAAACTCCACTTCCATATCCATCACCAATGAAAAGTCGATGAACAAATCTTCAGTACGGATCAACCTCTCAATGGATTCACAGTACGCACGAAAAGAAATCAATAAATCATTTCTAATATATACAGACACGTTTGTGATTGTGTTATACATCTATTCACATATAAAATCAAATAAAGATCTTATGGAAAATGAAATGAAAAAAAAGAGTGATTAGAAAGAAATGAACTCTTTCTTTCTTTTCTTTCGGCGAGAGTTTTGGTATGACACAATTAGATTCTAAAATGCAATGTACACAAGAAAACAGTGCACCCAACATGTCAAGTGAACAACCTAGTGATGGGAAAGGGAGAAATTGTGAAGACCTTCTGGTGTCCATGGGCTAGGCTAAGGAAGAAGTGGGGAAGATGGTGGAGTGGCAAAGCAGGGCTAAAATACCAAGTTTCAACCCATTTCCTGAATGGCTAAACATAACATAACATATCCCTTCAACCTAGAAAGAAGAATTCATTACAAATATCTGTGCAACCACAAACATGCATACCATATCAAAATGTTTGGAATTGGTAGAGAGCGTTCAGTAATCAACTCAAAAAACAAAACCACACCAAGAAGATGAACATAAGGGGGAACTCATGATAGGTTTGAAATGGAATAATAACAGTCTGGTTCAACATAATACAACATAACACTCAAAACACAGAAAGATAAAGAATGAAAGATANGTGGCAAAGCAGGGCTAAAATACCAAGTTTCAACCCATTTCCTGAATGGCTAAACATAACATAACATATCCCTTCAACCTAGAAAGAAGAATTCATTACAAATATCTGTGCAACCACAAACATGCATACCATATCAAAATGTTTGGAATTGGTAGAGAGCGTTCAGTAATCAACTCAAAAAACAAAACCACACCAAGAAGATGAACATAAGGGGGAACTCATGATAGGTTTGAAATGGAATAATAACAGTCTGGTTCAACATAATACAACATAACACTCAAAACACAGAAAGATAAAGAATGAAAGATAGATACATAGATAGAGACCTTTATATAGGTGCTGAACCTGCTGCTCAAGATGGTGGTGGTGTGGGAGCTGGTGGTGGTGCCGAACCTTTTTGCTGATAAATTTAGACAGATAAGATAGATAGAGAGGCATTTGTTAGGTCATTAATCTAAATCTAGCTTCCCTTGTATATCTTGGGTGCCATATCTAAAAGATCTAAACCTTTAAACATATATATGCAAATATCTAAAATATAAAAACTCAATAAATATCAAATAATCAAAGTAGAACAATACAAAGTGATTTTGAGAAGTGATTTTGTCCACACTTCAATACTTCAATACTTCAACCTTCTCTCTTAACTAACATAGACAGTAAATGTAAATAAACATAAAAAATTAAGCAAAATGTTTCTGTGAAATTTGAATTAAGGAGGAGAAGAAGAAAATGAGTTGAACACCAAAATGACAAATGCAGAAACGTAATAAAGAGGCCTTTATTTACCTTGGGGGCTCTTAGGGGGGTGGTGCAGGGGTGGGGACGGCGGATCGTGCAGGGAGGGCGGATGGTGCAGTGGCTGTTCTAAGCCACCGGCGCAGCTTCTTTGCTTTGTCACTCATGTCCAACACTGCGATTAAAAAAAATCATGAACAAATAATACTTAAAAATAAAAAAGCAAAAAATAAAGAGTATTTACTATCATGTATTGTTCATTAGTTTTGGAATATCCTCCCGTGTAGAACTCAACGACTTGGAAGAAAGTTAACATTCCCCCGAAGCATGCAAGAAGGATCCGACCCCCTCTGCTTTTCTCCATGGATTTTTGGATCTTAAATCCTCACCCAGGTCACTTGGGTGGTGAGGGTGGTAGGGGCATTCTTGCGCTGATCATCTCTACATTGCGTCGGATTATGCTGATGTCGGTTCTGATGCTCCCGGAGCCGCCGCCGCTATTCTCGGAGTTGGGGATTGATTTCGCCTCCATCCTTAGGGTTTGTGTGTTGTAGATATAAAACCCTCCGTATATATTGTGGAAATGGCTCTTTATCTCCATATATATTGGGGAAATGGCTCTTTATCTCATCAATTTATGTTCCGGGTTCAACCTTTTTTTTTAATCTGATCTTATTTTTTGTAATTCTAATCTGATATGATTTGATTGGATCTAATTTGATCTGATTATTTATGATTTATTTTAAAATTCAAATCAATAATTTGATTTGACTTTATAATAACATTTGAAAATTGTAATGATAAATCATATCATAATATAATCAATATATTTTAATTTGATTCATATCAAAATATTGAAGATGATTATAAAATAAATTAATATTTTTTTAATTTGATTCATATCAAAAAATATTGATTATATTATGATACGAATTATCATTGCAATTTTCAAATGTTATTATAAAATCAAATCAAATTATTCATTTAATTTTAAATCAAATCATAATTAATCAAATCAAATTAGATCCAATCAAATCATATCATATTAGAATTACAAAAAAATCAGATCAGATTAAAAAATAGGTTGAACTTGGAACATAAATTGCTAAGATAAAGAGCCATTTCCCCAATATATACGGAGGGTTTTATATCTACAACGCACAAACTGCACAAACCCTAAGGATGGAGGCGAAATCAATCCGCAAGTATGAGAACGGCGGCGGCGGCTCCAGAAGCATTAGAACCGCCATCAGCATCATCCGACGCAATGTAGAGATGATCAGCGCAAGAATGCACCTACCACCCTCACCACCCAGGTCACCTGGGTGGGGATTTAAGATCCAGAAATCCATGGAGAAAAGCAGAGGGGGTCGGATCCTTCTTGCATGCTTCGGTGGACTGTTAACTTCCATCCAAGTCGTTGATTTCTTCACAGGAGGATATTCCAAAACTAATGAACAATATATGATCAGTAAATATTCCTTATTTTTGGCATTTTTATTTTTTATTTTTAAATATTATTTGTTCACGATTTTTTTTATCGCAGTGTTGGACATGGGTGACAAAGCAAAGAAGCTGCGCCAGTGGCATAGAATAGCCACTGCGGCAGTGGTGCCAAAGAGTGGTCGGCGGTGAACCACCGCCGGCATTGGCAACACCGGTAGATGGCTTATGGCGGTGGAGAGGGCAAATAGGTTGAGGGGTATAATGGGAAAGTCAATACAATTTCATCACAAATAAATTTGCTTGTCCGGTTAAACTGAGAAGTTTTTGTTTCGTGGATAGAGGGAATATCTCCATTGAACAGGTGGTTATCTACCTATTTGACCATGAGGAAAAAAGCATTAGCACAGAAATAAAATTGCCATTAGTGGTACCGGTATGTACTAAGATTCTAATGACATGCTTAGACCTGCAAACCAAAGTTTAAATGCTTTCTTGTAGTTATTAAGAACAAATGGAATATTTGATAAAGAGAGACGAAGTATCACCTGGTAGGTCAAACTTTTCCCTCCCCCAGTTGGCAGTAAAACAAATACATCATATCCAGTCATGTTGGCATTGATCACCTCTCTTTGTTTGTGGCGAAGAGAGTGATTTCCAAATTTTTTCTTGTTGTTAACCTAGCAGCAGAATAAATGACCATATATCTAAGTAACCATTGTGAAAAATGCAAACTGTTCAAATTGAGATATAGGTACACACCTCAATATCTTTTGTCAAGGGAAAGTCTCGGCAGCTCCACTTTTTATCATTTGAACCATCAGCATAATTAACTTCAACATTTGTTGGTGCATAAGTTTCTCTTCTGAGAGTATCATTTAAAATGCCATTTGATGAAAAAGGCACCGATGAAGAATTCCATTGATCAAATCAAACCGGTTCATTATATTCAAATTGTGTTTCAAGCCTCCTGGGATCAATCCTAAAAGGGAACTGTTTGAGGAGTCTCACATTAAAAGTCATTCCCACAAGCCTCCCCTTTCTCGTCTTCCAGCAATCCCGTTTGCAATTTCTCTGGTGCAGCACGCTTCTGGAGAATCTCTGAGCATACACGTCCCTTATACTTGCTTTCTCGAGCCATTCTCCGTGATAATGATTGAGATGTCTTCTCCCTCAAGGTAGCTCTCCATTGATGAGAAGCCTTAAGGATGAGCATCCTATTGGCCTCTGCCAGCTGAACGCGTGATGCCACTTTGTTTCCCAACTCAGCCCGTTCTTCCCTGAACCGCATTTCTGCAACCTTCTTTGATGTTTGGCGTAACTCATCAAGCTTAGCCAGCCGCATCTGGGCTCTCAAAATAATGCTCATCCTTCAATTTTGAAAATAAATACAAAAAGGCCAAAATAACTTTTTTTATCAGCCCGGCATGCCAAACAATGTATAAGCCTGTAAGAGATGACCATTTTAGACACGATAATATTGTAAAATCTTATTCATACTTTGTGTTGCCGAAATACACCAAAGAGACCCCACTGCCTCTCCACCATACAATTATGGTGTTGATAAAAAAAGATTGATGAAAGTATAAAAAATGTAGGGTGAGAGCTGATGATGTACAGATGGGATACATCACTAGGTGTACCTCTAGCGTTACTCGTACCAAAAATTCAAAAATAAAGACTTGTGAAAGGGGTAATCTCAACACAAAGAAAATCTCCCATCCCAATATGGGTGATTTCAAATCATTTATGATAACACAATACGGGATTCTGGAAGGGGTAGATCTCAACAAAAAGAAAAACTCTCTCATAAGAAAAAGAACTAGCCTTTTCATGTGAGCAGCTTCAAGTTTCGCCTCGATTGGCTGGCCAAGGTCTTCTTCACAATCCATGGATTGTGTTGGGCTTCGTGCCTTCAGCCTAGCTTTACTTGATGGGTGCTCATAAAACTTCTGTTTGACACCACAGTATAGCAACACACAGAATTTATGTTACACACACTTCAATCATAGAAAACATTAACAAACAAAAATGAAGTGGAATTCAAGTTTTACAACAGCTAAAACTGAAAAAATAAAATCTCGAACAAACTTCTTGTTTTTTAACATGCTTCTTTCTTAAATATTTGAATCGTTCAAATCAATTTTAACAGTTCTAATGCCTTTTTTACTGTTTAATTAAATCCAACGTCTTGGCCAGATTTATTTACCCAATTTTGAAAGCTAAGTGAGAGTATAGTTTCTGTGGGAGAGAATTGTCGACGAAGATCGGCTCCTCGAAGTCTGGCTTCGATTTCTTCAACAGTAGGCGGGGAAGTTTTTGATTCCAACAGCTTCTGGCGAAGCCACGGCGGGATCGTCGGCGGCCACAGCGACTTCGTTCCATCATCTCCATCGCTACGCCTCCAGGCACCACAACCATCTCCGGAGACTCCACTTCCATATCCATCACCAATGAAAAGTCGATGAACAAATCTTCAGTACTTACAGACACGCTTGTGATTGTTTTATACATCTATTCACATATAAAATCAAATAAAGATCTTGTGGAAAATGAAATGAAAAAAAAGAGTGTGATTGGAAAGAAATGAACTCTTTCTTTCTTTTCTTTCTGCGAGAGTTTTGGTATGACACAATTAGGTTCTAAAATGCAATGTACACAAGAAAACAGTGCACCCAACATGTCAAGTGAACAACCTAGTGATGGGAAAGGGAGAAATTGTGAAGACCTTCTGGTGTCCATGGGCTAGGCTAAGGAAGAAGTGGGGAAGTTGGTGGGGTGGCAAAGCAGGGCTAAAATACCAAGTTTCAACCCATTTCCTGAATGGCTAAACATAACATAACATATCCCTTCAACCTAGAAAGAAGAATTCATTACAAATATCTGTGCAACCACAAACATGCATACCATATCAAAATGTTTGGAATTGGTAGAGAGCGTTCAGTAATCAACTCAAAAAACAAAACCACACCAAGAAGATGAACATAAGGGGGAACTCATGATAGGTTTGAAAAGGAATAATAACAGTCTGGTTCAACATAATACAACATAACACTCAAAACNCCTTCTGGTGTCCATGGGCTAGGCTAAGGAAGAAGTGGGGAAGTTGGTGGGGTGGCAAAGCAGGGCTAAAATACCAAGTTTCAACCCATTTCCTGAATGGCTAAACATAACATAACATATCCCTTCAACCTAGAAAGAAGAATTCATTACAAATATCTGTGCAACCACAAACATGCATACCATATCAAAATGTTTGGAATTGGTAGAGAGCGTTCAGTAATCAACTCAAAAAACAAAACCACACCAAGAAGATGAACATAAGGGGGAACTCATGATAGGTTTGAAAAGGAATAATAACAGTCTGGTTCAACATAATACAACATAACACTCAAAACACAGAAAGATAAAGAATGAAAGATAGATACATAGATAGAGACCTTTATATAGGTGCCCCTACTGCTCAAGCTGATGGTAGTGCTGAACCTTTTTGCTGATAAATTTAGACAGATAAGATAGATAGAGAGGCATTTGTTAGGTCATTAATCTAGCTTCCCTTGTATATCTTGGGTGCCATATCTAACAGATCTAAGCCTATATATATATGCAAATATCTAAAATATAAAAACTCAATAATCAAAAGTAGAACAATACAAAGTGATTTTGTCCACACTTCAATACTTCAACCTTCTCTCTAAACTAACATAGACAGTAAATGTAAACAAACATAAAAAATTAAGCAAAATGTTTCTGTGAAATTTGAATTAAGGAGGAGAAGAAGAAAATGAGTTGAACACCAAAATGACAAATGCAGAAACGTAATAAAGAGGCCTTTATTTACCTTGGGGGCTCGTAGGGGGGTGGGTGGTGCAGGGGTGGGGACGGCGGATCGTGCAGGGAGGGCGGATGGTGCAGTGGCTGTTCTAAGCCACTGGCGCAGCTTCTTTGCTTTGTCACCCATGTCCAACACTGCGATTAAAAAAAATCATGAACAAATAATACTTAAAAATAAAAAAGCCAAAAATAAAGAGTATTTACTATCATGTATTGTTCATTAGTTTTAGAATATCCTCCCGTGAAGAAATCAACGACTTGAAAGGAAGTTAACATTCCCCCGAAGCATGCAAGAAGGATCTGACCCCCTCTGCTTTTCTCCATGGATTTTTGGATCTTAAATCCTCACCCAGGTCACTTGGGTGGTGAGGGTGGTAAGGGCATTCTTGCGCTGATCATCTCTACATTGCGTCGGATTATGCTGATGTCGGTTCTGATGCTCCCGGAGCCGCCGCCGCCATTCTCGGAGTTGGGGATTGATTTTGCCTCCATCCTTAGGGTTTGTGCGTTGTAGATATAAAACCTTCCGTATATATTGGGGAAATGGCTCTTTATCTCCATATATATTAGGAAAATGGCTCTTTATTTCAGCAATTTATGTTCCGGGTTCAACCTATTTTTTTAATCTGATCTGATTTTTTGTAATTCTAATCTGATATGATTGGATCTAATTTGATCTGATTAATTATGATTTAATTTAAAATTCAAATCAATAATTTGATTTGACTTTATAATAACATTTGAAAATTGTAATGATAAATCATATCATAATATAATCAATATTTTTTAATTTGATTCATATCAAAATATTGAAGATAATTATAAAATAAATCAATATTTTTTTAATTTGATTCATACGGAGTATCATAATAAAATCAATATTTTTTGATATGAATCAAATTAAAAAAGTATTGATTTATTTTATAATTATCTTCAATATTTTGATATGAATCAAATTAAAAAATATTGATTATATTATGATATGAATTATCATTACAATTTTCAAATGTTATTATAAAGTCAAATCAAATTATTGATTTGAATTTTAAATTAAATCATAATTAATCAGAACAAATTAGATTAAATCAAATCATATCAAATTAGAATTACAAAAAATCAGATCAGATTAAAAAAATAGGTTGAACCTGAAACATAAATTGCTGAGATAAAGAGCCATTTCCCCAATATATATGGAGATAAAGTGCCATTTTCCCAATATATACGGAGGGTGTTATATCTACAACGCAAAAACCCTAAGGATGGAGGCGAAATCAATCCACAACTCCGAGAACGGCGGCGGCTTCAGGAGCATCAGAACCGACATCAGCATAATCCGACGCAATGTAGAGATGATCAGCGCAAGAATGCCCCTACCACCCTCACCACCCAAGTGACCTGGGTGAGGATTTAAGATGCAAAAATCAATGGAGAAAAGCAGAGGGGGTCGGATCCTTCTTGCATGCTTCGGGGAATTGTTAACTTCCATCTAAGTCGTTGATTTCTTCACGGAAGGAATCCAAAACTAATGAATAATACATGATAAGAAAATACTCCTTATTTTTGGCTTTTTTATTTTTTATTTTTAAATATTATTTGTTTATGATTTTTTTAATCGCAGTGTTGGACATGGGTGACAAGGCAAAGAAGTTCCGCCAGTGGCTTAGAACAGCCACTGCACCATCCGCCCTCCCTGCACGATCCTCCGTCCCCACCCCTGCACCACCCACCCCCTACAAGCCCCCAAGGTAAATAAAGCCCTCTTTATTTCGTTTCTGCATTTGTCATTTTGGTGTTCAACTCATTTTCTTCTTCTCTTCCTTAATTCAAATTTCACAGAAACATTTTGCTTAATTTTTTATGTTTATTTACATTTACTGTCTATGTTAGTTAAGAGAGAAGGTTGAAGTATTGAAGTGTGGACAAAATCACTTCTCAAAATCACTTTGTATTGTTCTACTTTGATTATTTGATATTTATTGAGTTTTTATATTTTAGATATTTGCATATATATGTTTAAAGGCTTAGATCTTTTAGATATGGCACCCAAGATATACAAGGGAAGCTAGATTTAGATTAATGACCTAACAAATGCCTCTCTATCTATCTTATCTGTCTAAATTTATCAGCAAAAAGGTTCAGCACCACCACCAGCTCCCACACCACCACCATCTTGAGCAGCAGGTTCAGCACCTATATAAAGGTCTATATCTAAGTATCTATCTTTCATTCTTTATCTTTCTGCGTTTTGAGTGTTATGTTGTATTATGTTGAACCAGACTGTTATTATTCCTTTTCAAACCTATCATGAGTTCCCCCTTATGTTCATCTTCTTGGTGTGGTTTTGTTTTTTGAGTTGATTACTGAACGCTCTCTACCAATTTCAAACATTTTGATATGTTATGCATGTTTGTGGTTGCACAGATATTTGTAATGAATTCTTCTTTCTAGGTTGAAGGGATATGTTATGTTATGTTTAGCCATTCAGGAAATGGGTTGAAACTTGGTATTTTAGCCCTGCTTTGCCACCCCACCATCTTCCCCACTTCTTCCTTAGCCTAGCCCATGGACACCAGAAGGTCTTCACAATTTCTCCCTTTCCCATCACTAGGTTGTTCACTTGACATGTTGGGTGCACTGTTTTCTTGTGTACATTGCATTTTGGAACCTAATTGTGTCATACCAAAACTCTCGCAGAAAGAAAAGAAAGAAAGAGTTCATTCCTTTCCAATCACACTCTTTTTTTTCATTTCATTTTCCATAAGATCTTTATTTGATTTTATAAGTGAATAGATGTATAAAACAATCACAAGCGTGTCTGTATATATTAGAAATGATTTATTGATTTCATTTCGTGCGTACTGTGAATCCAGTGAGAGGTTGATCAGTACTGAAGATTTGTTCGTCGATTTTTCATTGATCAGCATAATCCGACGCAATGTAGAAATGATCAGCGCAAGAATGTCCCTACCACCTACACCACCCAGGTCACCTGGGTGGGGATTTAAGATCCCGAAATCCATGGAGAAAAGCAGAGGGGGTCGGATCCTTCTTGCATGCTTCGGTGGACTGTTAACTTCCATCTAAGTCGTTGATTTCTTCACGGGAGGATATTCCAAAACTAATGAACAATACATGATGAGTAAATATTCCTTATTTTTGGCATTTTTATTTTTTATTTTTAAATATTATTTGTTCACGATTTTTTTTATCGCAGTGTTGGACATGGATGACAAAGCAAAGAAACTGCGCCAGTGGCTTAAAACAACCACTGCGGCAGTGGTGCCAAAGAGTGGTCGGCGATGAACCACTGCCGGCATTGGAACACCGGTAGATGGCTTATGGCGGTGGAGAGGGCAAATAGGTTGAGGGGTATAATGGGAAAGTCAGTACAATTTCATCACAAATAAATTTGCTTGTCCAGTCAAACTGAGAAGTTTTTGTTTCGTGGATGGAGGGAATATCTCCATTGAACGGGTGGTTATCTACCTATTTGACCATGAGGAAAAAAACATTAGCACAGAAATAAAATTGCCATTAGTGGTACCGGTATGTACTAAGATTCTAATGACATATGCTTAGGCCTGCAAACCAAGGTTTAAATGCTTTCTTGTAGTTATTAAGAACAAATGGAATACTTGATAAAGAGATACATAGTATCACCTGGTAGGTCAAACTTTTCCCTCCCCGAGTTGGCATTAAAACAAATACATCATATCCAGACATGTTGGCATTGATCACCTCTCTTTGTTTGGGGCGAAGAGAGTGATTTCCAAATTTTTTCTTGTTGTTAACCTAGCAGCAGAATAAATGACCATATATCTGAGTAGCCATTGTGAAAAATGCAAGCTGTTCAAATTGAAATATAGGTACACACCTCAATATCTTTTGTCAAGGGAAAGTCTCGGCAGCTCCACTTTTTATCATTTGAACCATCAGCATAAATAACTTCAACATTTGTTGGTGCATAAGTTTCTCTTCTAAGAGTATCATTTAAAATGCCATTTGATGAAAAAGGCACCGATGAAGAATTCCATTGATCAAATCAAACCGGTTCATTATATTCAAATTGTGTTTCAAGCCTCCTGGGATCAATCCTAAAAGGGAACTGTTTGAGGAGTCTCACATTAAAAGTCATTCCCACAAGCCTCCCCTTTCTCGTCTTCCAGCAACCCCGTTTGCAATTTCTCTGGTGCAGCACGCTTCTGGAGAATCGCTGAGCATACATGTCCCTTATACTTGCTTTCTCGAGCCATTCTTCGTGATAATGATTGAGATGTCTTCTCCCTCAAGGTAGCCCTCCATTGATGAGAAGCCTTAAGGATGAGCATCCTATTGGCCTCTGCCAGCTGAACGCGTGATGCCACTTTGTTTCCCAACTCAGCCCGTTCTTCCCTGAACCGCATTTCTGCAACCTTCTTTGATGCTTGGCGTAACTCATCAAGCTTAGCCAGCCGCATCTGGGCTCTCGAAATAATGTTCATCCTTCAATTTGGAAAATAAATACAAAAAGGCCAAAATAACTTTTTTTATCAGCCCGACATGCCAAACAATGTATAAGCGTGTAAGAGATGACCATTTTAGACACGATAATATTGTAAAATCTTATTCATACCTTGTGTTTCCGAAATACACCAAAGAGTGTACCCCACTGCCTCTCCACCATACAATTCTGTGTTGATAAAAAAAGATTGATGAAAGTATAAAAAATCACAAACCCTAGTTCGGCAATAAAGATAGATTTGAGAGCATGAGAGACCAAGAAGGAATGAAATACCTATGAAGGAGAATGAAATACCTAAGAAGGAGAATGAAGTACCGAAGCCACCAGACCAAAATCGCGAAGCCGTATGAGCGAAATCCCAGTGCCTTAGCTTCTCTCTCGCGCTTTCTCTTATCATGGAGTAATGTGTGGACATCCAAAATGTGTGAGTATGCAAGAAGCTTCACCAGTTTTATCTGAATGTGCGGTCCAAATCTCATGGGTATTGCAGCGTATCAAATGGGTGGGAACAGTGTTCAAAACACCCTCACACCATTATATATATATATAAGGATGACACTACTCAAATGCTCAATACATACCTAAAACACTTATAATTTGATAAATTGAGTAAAATAATATCAAGAAAGTAAATGAATGACCTTTGAGAACAGGAGTAAGAGCTTTCTCTTCCAGCTCAAGTCTCTGTTCTTCCTCAAGCTCAACTTCTGCAATCTCTCCTCATCGGCATTGAAATCAACCCACCGTAGTTTCCCATTCGACCTTCTCACCCCTACCCCCAACACAATACTTTTTAAAATTAACTCATTAACATTATAAAGAAAATCAATAGTAAAACTCAAAAGTGTATAATACCTAAAATCCGAGGACGATGATGGAATCAAATAAAATTGAATCTTAATTACCATATCCCTCATTATACTTATTGTAATGATTCTTAACTATTACAATTCAGTGAAATGGTTGTTGCCACTCCCATCCCATTAGGCCCCGACAGTTTCTTTGCTCTGGTCTGGAAACAAACACCCAAGTATTAAAATCATCAAACCATACCAACCATTGGAAGGTAATCAACATGAAATGCTTATACTAAGATGTCAAACCTCATTTAACCTGTCAATTTTAAACATGCCCATAAGCCCATTTCAGCCCTTCAGAATTGTGAATAAACATTCTTTTTTCTTATCTATTTGTTATGTCTTCGTGATGAGAGCTCAAGTTTAAATAACTAAACAACATATGAGTATTGCTGCATGTTTAGACAAAAAATGCTTGTAGATAAGTCTATTGGTCCATTCCTTCAAATAAAATCTGTTTTTTTGGAAAATTAAAGTCTTAAAATTTAGAGTCATCATGCGAGAAGTGATTAAAGAGATCATAGTTTTAACTATTTTAAAAAAACTATTAAGTCATTAGTTTTATTTACACTAAGGTGATGGAGAAGCAACTATACCTACGAAGTATTTTTTTTTAAATTCACATATTAATTCTATACACCTTGGCGAACAAAAAACATCTTGAAAGAAAAAAAACAGTACATTGGGAGAAGTTCATGGGGGGCATTATGTCAAACATTTTGTGTGTCTCCTCCATTATGATATTATGCGCTAAAAATCCAAGAAGTGTTCCAAACATGTAAGATTGTAAAAATGGAATTAAGGAAATTGAATTCAAAATCAATCACTATTCTAGTGGTTCATTTATAAGAAATGAATTAAAGAAAGAGGGTGCTGTGGTTTCTTGAAAGTTTCTTGAAAGTTTCTGATCTTCACACCATTTATTGGGAGCACACCGGGAATCCCAGCGGCCATGTGAGTCATTTCGTCGAACACACAGTGAGCATTGCTCATCAAAACCAATTCCTTTTCTTCAACTATAAAATCAAACATGTACTTGAGTAAATATGTAAAATCGAAGATAAGAAGAAGAAGAAAAAAAAAGATGAGGAAGTAGAAGACCTGCAGTTGGCCAACGTCTTTCTCGTTAAAATCCATAGCTGGGGTTATAACCCTAGGTCATTGCAACATGGATACTTTTTTTTATTTAGTTCCTTCAAAGAATCAAAAACAATGTTCAAGTCCTGGGAGATACAACTAAGGTAGATTTTACATAAACATGAATTTCTTTCTATTCATTTTTTAATGTAAATAATTACAACAATGAACTAAAGAATACTTTAAATCACAACAAAGCAATTATTTGAAAGAGAAAAAAATTAGACAATTACTTAGTTGAACAGAGTGCTGAGTATAAATAATTTGATTCTCTTGTGAAAGAAAATAAATTCTTGAATGACAAATATGTTTTATCCACTAGCTAGACATCATTCCCTGAAATCTCACCACTTATCCTTTATATTAGTGACTAATGTACATCAAAGAACTCGTTTATTTTTCCATCTAGGGATCACAAATTTTCTTGTCGGGTTTATGAAAAAAAGAATTTAAATTTGAGTATAAACTATTTAATTCATATCATAAACATAACACAGATAATTCTAGCATATGTTTTCGCATCTAGTGCTTATTGATATTTAGCAAGTTCAACTTTGCAATCTGCAAGCACCTAAAATAGATGAGTCTTTAACTCTATAGCCTGAGCAACCTTTCTCGTATACACATTTAAGCAATCTTGTTCTAACAGAAAAAGCATCTTGTCCTGATCTTTTTCATTCGTGCTCACCTCATCCCAAGAATTCCAAATTTAATTAAAACCTTTTTGTGGAAGCAACTTTCATTGTATGAGACAAATTTAGTCAAATAGAAATATTAAAATCTAGCTTCTACCCATAGAAAACATGAAATACTAATTTAAATTACCCCACTCCATTGGCTCTTGATCTTAGGTAAGCTATGAAATACACTCAGAACTGTAGATTGATGCACTCAAATAAAGAGAGTTTCAATATGAATTTGATGAAAAAAATAGAAATGTACCGTAGCCAATGGGCCAATGTTGAGAAAGATGATGAATAGTTGATTGTACTCCTGCAACCATGACCTTCACCTTCACCTCTCCCTCAAGATGCGTTTGTTCCTAGAGGTCTGCCTGTCATTTCTGTTTTCATTCTGGTCGATAGAGTACTCCCTCTCTTTCCCTTTCCGATCTGCGCTGTGTGAAGCGCGGCTGCCAGAAGAAGCCCCTTCGACAATACCCCTCCTAGAATCCATCACAGTTCCTCCTCTGTCACCGATGCTCGACCGCCGCTGTGTCGTCACTGCACCCCATCTGATTGAAAAGTCTACCTCCCGTAGTTCTCTCTCTATGCCTTGTTGCTTGGGATGTGCTTTAGGTTTATCTCCGTGTACTCCAAAATCGCGTGCGAAATCCCAGACCAAAATCGCCAGTAGTGCTCCAAAGCTTCTCTCGTGCGAAACCCCAGACCTCGCGAAGCCGTTCAAAAAACCCTAGAAACCCAGAAGATGAGTGAGTATGCCGGACGAAAAGCTTCTCCAGTACTCGACATCTAAAATGAGTGAGGATGTGGGAAGATTTTTTATCCGAATGTGCGGTCAAAATCTCACGGGTATAAAAATGGGCGGGAACACTGTAGAAAGAAAAATGCATCTTAGCATTGTATGGAGTATACTAGACTCGTACCCGTGCGATGCACGGGCTATTAATTGACATATAATTATTCAATGTTTTCAATAAGGAAAAATGTTACAAAAACCTGAAAGATTAGAGGAATTTAATCATCGTCCATTGACAGAGTTATCGTTCCGATCCTATCCCGATACAACATACTCTATTCTCAGGATACTAATCTCTTTTGCATGTTATCAGCCGTCCGACTTAACCATTGTCAACTTTGAGAATGGATCAAACCCATCTCTCTCGCCCAAAAAAGAATCCAACACACAGAGTGTGAAAATCATATAAAAGTACTTTGTAATATACTTTTGAGGTAGAGTGGCTAAAACGTACTCCAGGTATTAACCATTCTTATTTTCTTATAACATCTTGAAAAAGATACTCCATATAATCTTTCCACAACACAAAATAAAAAAATAATTTCATTAAAAAGTGTAAATTTGACACACAAAATCTCTGCAAAACATAAATACATACATAAGCTTCCAAAATAACAAAACATCCTCAAAAGTACAACCGCCAAAAGCCAGACTTGCCTTCTTTGGTGCCTCTTAAGAGATTAGAGTGTCTATCTGGGTTGCAAGGTGATCTAGCATGCTAGTTCCAAACCAAAAGGCAAACCTCAATTCAATAGATGTAACCAAAGAGCCTGGTAAGTGGATAGAAAGCTTGCAAAGCTTTTAAAAATCATGAAAATTCATATAATAATTTTTTTTGCAGAAAATTCATATAATAACTGAGCATGTGGATTCATCAATAAAGACTTGTCAACAAAAGAGATGATACTTCGTTTGAGCAAATAAATATGCTTTGTATTAAAAAAGAAATAAAAAAATCTAATATTGAAAGAAAATAAAATGAATAATGACCTTGAAGACAATTGTAATTCTCAAATTATTATCAAACAACATCTAGAACGAAATGATCAACTTGGCTCCTTTGGTATAATGACCTTTGCCCCAACATACTAAAACTCATAGAAATTCTAATAAATTATCGAAAATAAACAATTAGATCTGAAATAGAAGCTAGAAAGTAAGAAAATAGAAAAATTAAAGGGTTCTACCCTCGCACCTGGATGGGAAGTGAACGATTGTTTCAGGCGCATGTGACAATGACTTCAGGAGAACATACACCAAGTACAGCTGGTAGCCTATTGGTGCTTAATGGAACCGTGGCAGAATAAGGCAATGTTCCTAGAGTTTTATTTGCAAACATTAATTTAGATATTATAAATTCTATGGACAATTGACAAAAAAAGTGATTTTCAAAAAATAGCTACTAACAATTGCTCTTATTAATAAAACTTGCACTGAACATTAGGCAAGATAAGAGCTAAACAATCAATGAGAAATTAATAATGCATGCACTTAACAAACACAATTGTACTTGCAAACACAATGCACAACTCATGCACTCTAATACCTTATTCGTAGAAAAAGTATTTTCTACGACCAATATGCCACGGTGAAGTAGAAGAAGACCAAAGTAATTAATTTCCTAAAAGTAGTATGTTAAAAATTATATTTCCAAAAATGCTGATAGTGCTCCTGGCTTGAATAAATTAAAGAGAGTATGCATATAAAGTAATAAAGTAAAAATTAGTGAATGGTGATAAAGAGTATGCATAAGTGATAATTTACATTCTCTAGCATTGGGATAGATGGTAGAACACTGTATTTTGTAACCTACAAAGACAGAATCAAAAATTCTTTAGCTCACAAATTTGACACTAAATTCGATAAATTCAATGTGAATAAGAAGTTGAAGTATGAAACCTGGGCGTCAAACTCAATGAAATGGTAAAGTACGACATCGGCATGGAAAGAAGGAATGTAGATCTCTTTCAAATCCTTCATTCTCCCGACAGGGAACTACAACACATTAAGCCTTTTCCCTCTGTTCCCAATAACCACAAATTTAGGCAGTAAAAATGAGGCAACAGCTCTCCCAGTTCTCACACCTGCAATTACAAAACTTATCCATCAATTGTTTGTTAAAAAGATTAATCTCAAAGAGACAACAAAGGTACGGGATTGGACTCACCTTGAACAGTAATATTAGAAATAATGTGGACCAAACTCTCTCAATGTCCCCCCCTGCGTATGTGCGTTATCATTACTCATCAACAATCTATACTAATTTTAAACAAAACATCATTAAAGACGCAAATAATCGTAATGAAACTCAAAATGTAATAACTCAATGTAGAGTTGTGGGCGGGAACACTGTAGAAAAACACATCTTACCATTGTATATAGTAAGATATAGAGATAGAGATATTTCCAAAAGTAACATCATCGATAAGCCTAAAACACAACAACAAAATAAAGACAGATTCTAATTAAAAGATTACATTAAGCAATCAAACCTATTTTTTTGCTTGATTCTGTTCTTATAGAGTTGTGGCTGAGCAAGCACCTCTGTGATTCTGCATCCATAGCTAGAGTAGGTAGCTGACAATCAAATTACAGATTAGGAGGTTATGATGTGAAACCATGACAAATTATCAATATTTTTTATTTAAATTTGAAGGGCAAAATAGAGAAGTGAAATTACTCACCTTCTCATCTCCATAGATAAACATGAGTTTATGAATCAGTAGGGGGAGTACCTGGATCGAGTCAATCTTTATAATCAAATTTATTAAAATAATGAATAATAAATATGAAAATCGTAAGATAATTAGAGAAATAGAAGCGCACATAATAGAAGCAGATATCTAATAGTTACAATTTCAGTCTTTCATGGAGCTAATTTCTAGGAATCAGTACTAATTAAAAGTGATTAATCAATCACCAAAAAATAATTAATTTTCATAATACTAAATTAAAATTAAAAAAATATTGCATATCTTTATCTTTTTTAAAATCATTATTCTGCTGTGTGTTTTGTCCTTGTGCTTCATCTTCTCCAACTCATACACTTAAGTTCACATCAAAACTGTGAGAAAAGAGGATGAGGGATGAAAATAGATCAAGGTTCCAGCAATTAAATTGGATAATGGAGAATGCCTTACCTGATAAGCTTCTAGTATGGACTCGTGCAAAGTTAACCCGATGACCGAAGCTACTGGTCAAGCTTGAGACGAATGTATGTAAGGAAAAGAGCAACAACTTGTTGAAGCTACAGAGAATGAAATAGCTATCAAGAAAAAACAAACTAAAAGCATATTGATCTTTACCTCTGAGGCATAATTACAAACTCCCCCGATGATGAAGCTTCCCCTCCTCACATCTAAATTGATAATCAAATGTATGAAAATAAAGTATAATAAATATGAAAATGATCAACTGTATGAAAATAAAAATATAATAATTATGAAAGTTGTAAGATGATCAGAGAAATAGAAGCGCACATAATCGGAGTTGCAGTCTCATTCTCATTCTCTCCAACTTTCTTATCAACTAAGCTTTTTTTATGGCATTGAATTCTCTGAATCTGCCAAAGGGGAAATGAAAGTCTAAAAACCAAAAGCATAAGCATTTTAGTAAATTATAGAAACCACACTTTCGATTACAGAAGATCTAGAGGGGGGGTATTGAAGCATGTAACAGAAAACATCAAAATTCATCAAGGATACATTTATGGCAGCAACATAAGAGTGATGGAATTACACAGAACCTGTCGAGTAGGCTTGTGGAGGAAACATAGAAGCAACTTGCAACCTAAAAGAAATCACAGAAATTGAGGGAGGAGGTATGTTATTCTATATGAGGGAGCCAGTTGCCTTTGAATCAGATTTTAAACCAAATTCATATCATAAAATTGGGAGAAAGAGAAAGTGAAATGAAGGCATTTGTGCCGAATAACTTGAGCAAACCAAATCAACCAAATAATAAATTGGTCCTTCCAAAGCTTTTCGGCCAAACACAACTAATTAGCTAAAATGATTAAACCTTTTTATATGCTACAATATAGGCATTAGCCTACAAAATTCTACAACATGAATTAAAATGGCCAGAAAACTGTTCACATGTTACTTAGGCTCTACATTTTCTTGAGGCATTTCCTCAAACACATTGAGCATTGCTCCTCCAAACCAATTCCCTTTTTATAACTACAAAATTAGACATATTTTTAAGTAAATATGTAACAGAAAATATGTAGACACGTAGATGAAGAAAACGGGATATTGAAATATAGATTCTCTAACCCGTGCCTTAGCCTAAAATTTTTCATGCTCTTAGAAGATTGAGATGAAGGAATGGGAAAGAATCTAGCTTTTACAGTTAGAGTACCCGGTCTAATCTACACGGCATCTAAGATCTATTATATTGGATGCAATGTTTGATGCTGCAAAATGTTAAAGATTGTGTAATTGAAGCCATTAAAAGAAGATTTACAAAAAAAAGTTTTCCATAACTGAAAACGCACCTGGTTGAGCTCTTTGAATTCTTATTCATCGCATGCATCTTCCGACTTCCAATGGAAGGAGCGTTGGAGCAGCAGTTTGATAGATCTATTACACTGAATCGAGACACTGTAGCTGCAGAATTTTTCCGAAGGCCCTTCGCTCACAACCGTCGGAATCCAGCCAGGCTACGGTAGAAAACCTAGCCAGCGCTGTCGTCTCCCACTTCTTCCGCTCAAATGCCCGTCGTCTATGGCCATAAGGGTCAAAACCCTTGCCTTTTGCCGTGTCTAGATTAACAAAAAAAGTGACATCTTCCTATTTACAACAGCAGCAGGAAAAGTTTCCCGCTCACTTGTGCTATTAGAATACGACGTCGGTTGGGATATGTGTATTAAAAAACCGCAGCCCAAGTCCTAAACTCCTAACCAGTAACCACCCACTAGACCCATCACAGGGTAATAATCAATCTGGCGATGGACGGTATCGACCGGAAGGAAGCATAGAAGACAGAGAGAAGGGAGCAACTGGAGAAAGAAGGAGAAGGTGGAGGTTGTTGTTGCGAGAGTACTGTTCATCATCTTCTTCAACTTTGACGCAGCGGCTATGGTACCTCTGAATTTCATCAATTTCTTCATACATCTTTCCGGTTTCAATCCAGGATGTTCTTTTCGAGCGGGAACTCCAGCATCCTCTTCCGTAACCATGTGTTAATGGGGACTATTTAATAGGTGACTGTTTGTAGATACGACATCAATGGAGAAAGGGGGATGATCTGGAGAATACATAGACGACATCGACGATTTTATTTGCGCCTATTTCTTTGGCATCATCGATCTGTGATTTATAGATGCAGACGACACTGATGTCC